CACTTGTGTATGAAAACTATATAAACAAGATTTTAAAAATTATACCTAGCAGATCATGTCTCCTGGGAGGATAGAAGGGTGGTAGAGAGTGCAGAGTGTTCTAGTTTTAACTTATTTTATGATTTTATGTAGTGAATGTATACTGCTTTCTTAATAGGAAATATATGTTTTTTTGTTTATGAGATGAAACATATCAGTATCTTATTCTGAATGATAAAAATGGAAAATGGTAAATATTTAAAGAACAGAATACTAGGAAGCAAGGAACAGAATTTTGGTCTTAGTGCCTTAATCTATCTCAAACAAATAAAATTAAGTCATTTTACTTGGAAAACAAAAGGGCCAAGAGTTTATATCTTCCTTAAAGTAACATAAAAATTACTGGAAAAAAAAAAAGAGTGGAGTTGCTTTTTCAGTGCTATTTACTTACTTAATAGCTTATGGCTTAATAATTAACCTAATTTAATACAACAAAATTATAGATTTTTTTTTGGTACTGGGGATTGAACTCAGGACCCTATGCTTGCAAGACAGGCACTGGAACCACTGAGCTAAATCCCCCGCCCAAAATTATACATTGTTTAACCTCATGATACTTTATAGCAACATAGAAATACCTGTACTAATAGTTATAATAAGTCTTAAAGCCATTTAAACTTTCCAATAGGCCCTATTCTCTTAGCTAAGCCTTAAACTACTGCACATTTATAAAGGAAAGGTACCATGAAAGAAAGCAGCAGGTCAGTTTAAAGCTATACAGAATGTTCTCTGGAATTCTTTGTGAGTGCTTACTTTGTCCCGTGGATGAGTTAGTTACAAAAAGACAATCATTGACCCTCCTGATCCAGTAATTGTGCTAGGGGGAGGCCGCTCTTTCAAACTATTAACTTTCATTTGAAACAGCTCTAGAAAGAGGTCCAAGGTAAATCCAGGTAACCTGAGATAATTCTCGATGTATGGCAGAGAAAGTTTATTCCCATATACTCCCCTCATGCTCCTATAAGGACCATTAAAGGAAGAAGTAAAAGCCATCAGAAGCTTGTCTTTTCCAGAAAACAACACAGAACCTTTCTATTAGTCACAACTCAAGGCACCAACAGCCTCTAGAAACCTAGATGCTTTGAGAACACTTTCTAGTAATTCCACGCCTGTAAAATTTCTTTAAACTTAGGAATGGAATACAGATTTTGTATTACTCTTTAAAGCTTTTTCAGAGAAGTCAAGACAATGAAAGCCTGGGAGAAAAGATGGTTATGTATACAATGAAAGAGCAAAAAACAACTCCACTCTTATGCTACCAAAATCTCTCTGTAAATTAAGACAATTGTAAGATACCGGAAAAAGAAATATAAGGTATGTGAAATGTGGTAATACAAAGATATAATGTAACAAGACTCAATAAACACACTTTTCAATTTCTCAAATAAAGCTACAGAACTGTATTAAATATCTGAAGTAACTGAAATAGTAGAAATAGGAGTTGAAACCAGGACTAATTATCTTCTTGCTATAACAGCTAGTCTACAAATGATTTATTAATGGTAAATACATGAGGCACTACTGCATAAAAACAAGGCCAGTTAGGAACTTGAATTTCATAGAAATTTCTCTGATACAGCCCAGTCTTCTGTTTCACAAAGTACTGATCATATTGTACAATCTTTTTAGTACCCTTGAGATGTCATGTAATCCAATCCTCTGACTCTAAGCAGAACTGCAAATCATCAAGTAGTCAAGAATAAGTATGGGGGTCTGAACACACAGTGACAGTGATCAGGGGCTGTCATTAATTACAACAAATTTCTGAATAAGGAAAACAGGTGGAGAATTGGTGACTGATGAAATAGGGCAATATAAATTATAGCCCATAATAGCTATGGGAACAGTTCAGCCAAGCCAGAAACCAATTCATGGTCTCAAACCAGATGGGTTTTCAGAGAGACCTTTCAAGTAGACTTTTTGCCCTGAAGCAGAAACCTGCTAGTCCATAGCCCTGCCTATGTACAGGGAAGTCCTAAGCACTTTTATACTACTTCATTCTTAAATAGGCTAAACTTCATGCATGGTATCATCTCAATTTTTCAGATTATATAGATATATATAATTCACACCATAAATAACCCTGAAAAATGATATTCAAAACATAGAAATAAAACAAAAAATTGTAATTCATTTCCTCAGAGATTCAAGAAGCTACTGCAAACACATACAGACACACACACACACACACACACACACACACACACCCAATAATAAGCAACAGCAATGAAGGGAGGCTGTACGGAACAATGTATACAGGCCAAGAAAACAATCAGCCAGATTAGAATAAATAAGGTAAGACTGGAAAAGAAAAGGGTGTAGAACAAGAGGTGGTTTACAGATTTGATACTATACTTGAGAAGCTGGAAGAAGATAGGGGTATAATTAAGATATACATACAAAGAAAAAAAAGGCAATTTAAGAAACTCCAGGAAAAAAAAGAAACTCCAGAGAAGACAAAAGTCTGTATAAGATACAGTCATTTGTATGGTATTGATCCTACATACTTACACAACATGCATAAGTTTTATAAACTTGTATGAGGAAGAACAAGAAATAAAGGCATATTATCTTAATTTACCAAGATAACTGACACAGGAACAAAACCCTCATGATATAACTATCCTAGAAAATAGGAGTAAGAAGTAGGAATGGTGAAATATTTGAACTCAGCACTCATTTCATAACACAAAGTTAAAAAACAAAGTCTGTAATTGGCAAATCAATAAATAATAGCATATTTTTAGAGATAATATGTTTCAAAAGAATAATCAAAACAAAATTTAGAGTCAAAAATGATTCTCTCTAGGAAAAGGTGATAGGTAGAAAAAGGAGATACCAGGAACACCTGCTTTTCATTGAAAACTTTAAAATTTATTAACTATGATTATTTTGATAAATGTAAAAATTGTATTTTTTTTTTTTTGGTACTGGGGATCGAACTTGGGTCCTTGCACTTGCGAGGCAGGTGGTTTAACCACTGAGCTAAATCCCTGGCCCGTAAAAATTGTATTTTAAAGAAAGGAGTAAAGAGGACACCTAGAATCCTATAATGTATGATTTCAACTCCCACTGGACACTTACCTCAACCTTGATAGCACATCGTCCAATGGCCCTAACAGCTTTGCGAACAAAGTCAACATCCACCTCAGTAGCATATTCCTTCAGTTCTGCCAGAACCTGTCAAATATCCAGGAAGTGGATAACCATTAAGAATTCTCAAACAGCAATCTTATGGTCTAGCTTCTGGTTAAGGCCAGACCTTAGGATCTAAGGCATCATAAATTTGAGATTGTTTAAAGTCTGACCTGAGCAATGTTGGCTTGGGATGCTAGGCGGATCATGATGTCCAACTTTTCCAGTTTAACATAGATGGGATCATTGTACTTCACAAAGAAGACTTTGATTTCCTGCTTTAAGATTTCAGGCCTGTGTTATACAGAAACACAAGAAAGGATAGTGAAGATTATATTTATGTCCTTACGAGTCTGTAATAGTATCGGATCTGTACATTTCCCCCAGGAAGTCTCACAAACTTACTCTATACTTTTTGTGTGTGTGTGACACTAGGGATCAAACTCAGAACCTCACATATTCTAGGCAAGCACTCTATGACTGAGCTCTGTCACCTCCAGCCCCTCTGTTCTTATCAGTTCCATTTGGCAGACTATTTTTATCATGTTTAAGTATCAGGGTACATGCTGCCATGAAGAGCTACTGGAGTAACAACAATCTAGTTCTGCCTGAATGGTATCATGCAGGTACTAGATAGAAGATCAGAAAAAGACCCTCAGAAAACAACCTGGAATGTAGAGCAACACCAGACACTTATTATAGGTACACACTGACATCCACTGTTGGCCTACCGATTCTAGGTGAGGTGCTCTGCTATTTAACATTTTCATTTCCATACATTAACAATCTGCTTTTAACTGGCTGAACCATATCAAGCAGGCACTAGATAGATGAGAAAGAGAGCCTTCAAAAAACCACCTGTACTGTACAGCAACACCAAGCATTTATTATAGGAACACATTGACATTTACTGTTGGTCTACTGATTCTGGGTAAGTTGGTCTGCTGTTTAATATTTTCATTTAAAAGTGAGTAATACTGGCCAACTGAACATTGACATTAAGCTTAATTCAAAAAACATAACCATCAATTTACTGTTTCCCAACCTTTTCTGGACAATTAAGTTGATGTTCCTCAGGGCAACATACTGCACTTCAGGCTCCCCAGACAGCAAAGTAACAAGAGGAGGAGCTAACTTCTTCAACAGCATATTGTAGTAGTCAGAGTCCTTGGGTAACAATTCCAGAAATTTCATTAGGACTTTTACTGCTGAAAGCACCACTGCTGAGTTGGCATGGGATAACCGGGGAGTTACCCGCTCACAGATGCTGAGGGCAGAAAAGGAAAATTAATATTCCCTCTATCATAAATTCTGTGCTCAATCCATTTTATAAGGTAATGTTTTAGAGTCCCATGGCCCAAGTATCAAGACATTAAAGAATCAGTGAGAAAAGTCAAAGCTCCATGCTTAGGTCAAATTGGGATCCAACAGTGCAGAAGCCTCATTCCCAGCAAAATACAGGCAGAGCAGGGATATCAGAAGACTTTAGGAACCAGCAATAGGGGATGTTCAAACTGTAAGGAAATTAGCAATACCCCAAACACTTGAGCTCACACCATTTACCTTCTTGTTTTATAGTCCTCTTTGTCTCCCCATATTATGTTAGGGCTCCCTGCCTCACAGCCCATTTCTACTCAACCTATAGAAAGTCAAATTCAGTATTCTGAGAGTTATTTCACAGTGAAAGACATCAACCCACTTGTGATTTATGGTTTCATAATGAGATGAAGAATGTGGGTTGGCAGGAAAAAAAAAACAAAAAACAAAACAAAACTACCCAACTTCCTGTCTTTAGGATAGTAAGGGAAGCTCCGAAAGGGGTTTGTTTTGGAAAATATCAGAACACCACTGCAATATTCTCCCAACTTCTTCCCTTTCTCCTACTCCTTGCCACCTATGCTTAAAATCTTGGTGAAATCTTGGGTACTGAATCATCTGTGTAGTGTCCAGAAATTATTCTGACAGCTCTTTAGGCAATTTAAGGAGCAAGCTTACTATTTTAAGGATATTAAGTAGACCTATGTTGCTCTCCCTTCTTCCTACATGTATTTGGCTGGCTCCTGACCTCCTTTAGATCTTTATACAAATATCACTTTCTCGATGATGCCTCCCTTGACTAGTAAAAAATCAAAAACCCTAAAAAAAAACAACCGACCCACAGTCCCTCACCCCAAATGCCCAGCATTTCTTAGATCTCTTCCTTACTTTATCTTTTTTTTTTTGGTACTGGGGATCGAGCTCAGGACCTTGCACTTGTGAGGCAGGCGCATTGCCACTGAGCTAAATCCCCAGCCCTACTTTATCTTTCTTGTCAGCACTCATCACCATCTGAAAATATTATATATTGTATTATATACACATTCCTCAGTATAAGTGCTCCATGGGGGCCATGAGTTTTGTCTGTTCTCCTGCATTATCCTCAGGGCAGAGAACAGAGCCTGGCATACAGCATGGGCTTAATAAATATTTGCTGAGTGAATGAATAAGTATAATGACCAGCAGAAAATAAAATACTCCATAAAGTTCTTTTCAAAATATGTTGAAAAATCGGGCCGGGGATTTAGCTCAGTGGTTTCGCCACCTGCTGCGCAAGCACAAGGACCCGAGTTCGATCCCCGGTACCAAAAAAAAAAAAAAAATTGAAAAATGATGGAAAGAAACTATCAGGGGCTTTAGTTAAGTCCAGAGGGAATAATTTCCCAGATAAGTGAAGAGCACTTACATTCTAGTAGCTTGGAAATCAGCTTCAGCCAGGCAAGGAAGGTTCTTATCTACCATAATTAAAATATGTCAACTTTAATGAAGAGCCAACATTTCCTCAGAAGTACTTTGCCTAGTATAGTGCTTATCTATACAAAAAGTTCAATAAAAATTGGTGATAACTCTAACGTTGTAAATGAAAATGTATGTGTAGATGAAATTTAGTAGTCAATTTCTGTCAAAGAAAATCTGCAACAGTGAGGTGGTAAAGGGCTGAGCATGCTTCCCAAAAGCTCCAAATTCACACAGACATGATAGCTGTATGTAATGGGAAGCAGTGTATATTTTGCTGATTTTAACATAGTTTTTCTAGTTCTAAATTATAGGTATAGCTCAGTTCATTAACTAGCATGACGCCACTAAGTATCTAACACAATGAAAAGTGTGTCCCTACAGAGACATTCAATAAGCTTTTTCACAAATGGCCAGGAAATGGGAGATGGGAGACAGTGATGGAGATATTAGCAAAAATAACTGTACTGTTCAAACAAGAAATGAAAAACATACATTTCTTAGAAGCTGCTTTTTTTTTTAGGATGGTTTACTCTACCATGTTCCTAAATCCAGCAGGAAAATATCTTGGGGATACCGATATTGACCCAACAGGCCACTGACCTTCCTCAACCTGATAGACTCATCTTCTAACAGCAGACAGTATCACCTACTGACTCAGGCAAGATTATCAAATATTGTACAGGAAAACAAACTGACCTCTGAGCTTCCCGGTCATCTTTAGGGTTATAATTAGACAGGCAGTCCAGGATGAAAATCTGGCCCCATTCGGTGCACTCATTCAGAGCTGTCAGCAGCTTATTAATGTTCTGTGGGTTCAAATCGAGCAAGTTGCTGTTTGGGTGAGACTCACTAATTTCAGACAATGCCGCTACAGCATTAGCCACCACCTGAGAAAGAAACAGATATAACCTTGAAGCACCCAGGACAGCACAACTATGACAAACAATCAACCTTTGCTGGATCATTCATAGATCTCAGCGCGTAACCGTTCCTGAACACTTTACCTGGTCAGATAGAAACAGATAAATTCTTTCAAAACATATATTAACCAATAACAATATCTTATATAGCTACCTGTCTAGGAAATTGAGAATTAAAATATTAACAGAGTTACACGTTTTGCTATTAAAATGTTAACCATTTTAACAATACTCAAAACTACCAATAAAATCAAGACATATGAATAGCTATAAAAAGTGAAGTCTAAATAAGAAATACATATATTAGGTAGCAGAGAGAAAAATGTAGGCCACATAATTTTCTAGAGGTATGTACATATAAGAGAGAGATGACACTGTCAATCATATCACATGCCTTGGACTAAGAATATGTAGACTTGAGATTCTAGTTCACTAGTATACAATGTGTTTTTTCTTTTTTGGTACTGGGGAGCAAACTCAGGTCCTTGTGCCTGCGCAGCAGGTGGCGAAACCACTGAGCTAAATCCCCAGCCCACTAGCATACAATGTTAAGAAAATATACAATCTTTGTGAAATTTAGTTTTTTCATCTGAAAACTGGGGATAATTTTTCTTTTGTTTTAATTTTTGACTAGGTCTTGCTATGTAATCCAGGCTGGCCTTAAACTCACTATGTAGGCAGGCTAGCTTAGAACTTGCAATTCTCCTGCCTCAGCCTCCTCAGTGTTGAAGCTAAAAAACAGGATAATTTAATCCACATCATAGGTTAGTTTCAGTGTGAGAATAAAATCAGACAGCATGTAGAAGCTTTTGACAAAGGATTATGAAAAGTCAAGGTGGTTATATTACCATAATTCATCATATAAGTTGCATAGTTATTTACACAGATATCTCTAAAACTTGGATGCATTTTACAACTAATAGCCTGGCAGTTTAATAGGAACCAATTTTCTTTTCTAGTAATATAGAAAATAATCATGCATCTTATAAAAAGAATTGTGGATTCAATGAAATACAGTATTTCAAATATTATCTTCATTCAGAGTATGGTAAATGAAAAATTGCTCCCCTAGACAAGAAAGAATATGTGTATCCTGACTCATAGACTTAGGAATCCATGTAGGTGTAATGTGAAAAGTAAAGAATGGGCCGGGGATTTAGCTCAGTGGTTCCGGCACCTGCCTTGAAAGCGCAAGGTTCCGAGGTCCATCCCCGATACCAAAAAAAAAAAAAGATCAAAATTACGGATTATTTCTAATATAACAAGTCTAAAACAATGAACATTTAAAGTTATTTAAAAACTGCAAAAACAAAAACACAAAAAATACTATCTTAAAGCTCTGTACAAATGAGTTTTAAGACATTTTTTTGGTACCGGTGATTGAACTCGGGACCTTGCACTTGCGAGGCAGGTGGCAGAACCCACTGAGCTAAATTCTGGCTCATTTTAAAACATATTTTGGGGCCGGGGATTTAGCTCAGTGGTTCCACCGCCTGCCTTGCAAGCCCAAGGACCCGAGTTTGATCCCCGGTACCAAAAAAACCTCCAAAAAACCCCCCCATATTTTGTAGTAAGGCTCCAGTTTTACTTAAGATTAGCAAGATGAGGCTGAATATAAATACTCTGTAAGTATAAATAAAATGTGATAGAAAATAATTGCTTCAGCAAGTATATATATTGAGAAGATTCTCAAAAATATGAACCTATAGTTAATTTTTAAATTCCTTGCTAAAAGCTTGAGAAACTGAGTTTTGTAATTATCCTTTTATTAGCAAGACAAGAAACATAAGGGCTACAGTTTAGCTACTGGTTTTAGTATAGAGATTGTTAGGACACTCTGAAGATTATTCTACTGTATGATTTTGCCTAGGAGATAAATGCTAAAGAATATAATGTAGCAAATAATATACTTATGGCAATATTCCTTATTACGTAGAGGATAATAATGGCATAAACAGGATCATCTCAAGTTGTAATTTAGTGATCAGAACAAGATTCCAAGATAAAAAAATCAAAAACCTCACTTGCCAAGTATGATCCTAGAAATTTTATTCTTATGAAGACAAATCAAGATCTACTGGATAACATATGAGGTTCTTTTTTCAATTTTGTTTGCTAACTCCATCATCAAACGTGAAGATTTATGGAAAACTAAAAGGCATAGAGTAAAATAAAAATCCCTTCCATGTGCTTCAAATGCAGGGAAAAGATATTTTATTACCCATAAACAATATACTTGATTAACCCTATTTTAATATAAAAAAAATCAAAATATATTGGAAGACCCCTGGGCTGGGGATGTAGATCAGCGGCACTGCGCCTGCCTGACAAGCACAAGGTCCTGAGTTCAATCAATGGTACCAGAAAAAAAAAAAATTGGAAGACCAAATTCTACTTTCATCTACTGCTGCTAAGACATGCCCCATCTTAGTAACCAGTTGTTTAAAATAAATCTTATACTACAATTACCATTTCTGCAAGAGAAACCCCCAACTCAAGGTTTCTGAGATAGTCTTGCTATATATAGTTCAGGCTGGCCCTGAACCCACTATGTAACCCAGGCTGGCCTTGAACTCTCCGAGATCCTCATGCCTCAGCCTCCAGAGCACTGGGATTAGACATATGTTACCATGCCCAGCTGAGAATACTCCCCTTTTAAAGTTAAGATTTGATAATAAATGCAGAAAAACAAGTGAGAATTAGGGAGACTAAAAGGACTAGTGGAAAGGACAGGAAGAGAACAGAAGGATGCTAAACAGAAGGAGCAATCAGAATTCCTGTTATCATCACAGGCAACTGGAAATTAAACCAAGCATATAATGCAGCTAATGAAGAATAAATTCTGGTGCTTAAATAGGCAATTTCCACTTATTATCATATTAAAACAGGAAAGGATATAGAGAAAAGTCAGTCTAATTAAAAGATGCAGAAAGATCAGATCAAAGGATTATGTTGCACAAAGCCTGTGGGAAAGATCACTGCTGGCCACTACTTCAGTAACTGGCTGGAGGAGCTACTCTCCCATCACAGTGCTAACTTCAGATCCTGTAAAACTCCAAGAGTTCCTTCTATTCCACCTCTCTAATTTCATTTCTTCATTTTCAGATTCAGATGGCTATGTTTCCACAAACATTCCAAGGCAGGCCTTGAGGAATGCTTGGCGGGTCTCCTAATCAGTAAGCTGTGTTTCCCTCATGCTAATGGAAACTTGCAATAAGACACACTCTGTCTGAGGTAGATAAAGAAAAGGACTGACTTCAAGACGGCAACTGGGTGGCTACAGCACACAGAACCACCCCATGTCAACATTCACACTACATTTCTTTGAAACTAAGTACACATGTTGCCAGTTTTTAAAAATCAACTTTAAAAATAATAGATTGAAACAAAATTTTCTCCCCGTTGAGCCTTCTCCAAACAATACTGTAACACTACATGCATGAGACTTGGTGAAAAATCACAAAGAACACGTTCAACCCTTAAAGTGACTGCCTTACCTTCCCTGAATATTAAAATAAAGGTTGCAGGGCTGGGGATTTAGCTCAGTGGTTTCGCCACCTGCTGCACAAGCCTCAAGGACCTGAGTTTGATCCCTGGTACCAAAAAAATAAAAAAATACAGGTTGTCTTTTTTGTTTGAAGCACCACTTTGATTTGGAATTGTTAGGACAACCATGTGTACGTTTCCCCCTAGGCAATTATCATTTTTCTTAGGAAATACTGCTATAATTTCAGAAAAATTAAGAGTTTCTAAGAGAAAAGGGTGGGGGCTGGGGATTTAGTTCAGTGGTTTCGCTGCCTGCTGCGCAAGCGCAAGGACCCAAGTTCGATATTCGGTAACAAAAAAAAGAAAGAAAACTTTTGGGCCAGGGATTTAGCTCAGTGGTTCCGCCGCCTGCCTTGAAAGTGCAAGGACCCGAGTTCAATCCCCAGCCCCCGCCCCCAAAAGAGGAAAGGGTGAATTTCTAAGAAATGTTTGCTTTAAAATGAATTTATAAATTGGATTTCAATGAGCTTTCTCAGTATAAGGACTGATTAATAAAAAGTTGGCCTCTAGGTTATAAAGGAATATCACTCTATACTGAAAACAAAACAAAACGCCTGCCCTTTTATTCATCTTGCTCCTAATTATGGTAAATTCTGTGCTTTGGAGATGGCAACTAAACAGTGCCCATCCCTCATGTCCCACAGACCCAATGCAATATCAATACACATATTAAATATTTTACAGACACACAAACTTCAATAAAAACACATATAGACATACAAAAAACCCACACTTAATCCTAGACAAATCTTTCTCTCCCTTAACTACACACTTCTATTTGATAGTTTCTTATTGACCCTTAGACTCTGCAGAATTTGTTTTTAAGGTAAGCAATTGAACTTTGATTTTATACCAAACAGCTCAAGCTGCACAAAGATGTAAAAGATTATACTAGCTAAAATTTACTGACTACTTACTACATGCTATTAATTCTCATAAAAACTCTGAGGTAGTTGCTATTAAAATCTACCTATTAGAGATGAGGAAACAGGTTTAGAGAAGTTCAGTGACTTGAGCAGGGTCAACACACCCAGAAAGAGATACTGCTTGAATTTGAACTCAGGGTTTACATTGGATTCCAAGTGTCTCAGTATGTACTAATCATTCTTGTCTCCAGCTTTTACATAAGTCCCCAAACCTGTGAACTTTAACTGGGGAAGAGAGAGAAGCAAGCTACGGGCGTGTGTGTGGGAGGAGATAATATAATCAAAACATATTTATATAAGTGAAAAATATCTATAAACTTCAGAGATCATCAAATCCTGGAAGTAAAGAGGTGAGATTTATTATTGAGCTATAAAATCTTATTTATAAGCTACATCTAGCTCATATGCAGAAATTCTGAGGACATAAATTTGACCTCATCTTTTTAAACGAGCTAGCTGGAGCAGTAAGTATGATCAGAATAAAAATGATCCTGTAAAAAATTACTCTAAATCTAGATACACACTGAAGAGCAGTATCATAGGCAGAAGTTCTTTTTATGAAAAACCTCACAAGTTCCTGGTCCCCAGAATGATTTTTATCCTGCACTTGAATTTTACTTTTTAAAAAATAACATCAGAACCTGAGAAATATCACTTTCTAGTACAGCGATTTACTACTATTAAATAAATTGTTTGGAAGGCATTGATTTCCAGCCATGATAAGGTTAAATATGCTCTAAACAGACTTATGCTTTTTCTGTTCAATTTACAATTTTTTCTTGAGGGAGGGGGGCAGTACTCCTGAAGACTTGAATAAAGTGAAAGCAAAAGAATAATTGGCCAGAAGTAGCATGAGGAAATACACAGGTGGTGCACATATTTTTATACTCCAAAGTATTTCCTCATTCTAAACAGACTTACTTTCAAAATAATGGACTAATACAATCCACAGCTAAAAGTAAGCTTACTTTTAATTCCCTTATAACAGATTGTTCTATATGAGTTTGTATAGATATCAAAGGAATCAATAGTTTAAAAAGTTAATATTCTAGTGATATTAACTTTTGCCTAATGTCTATACCCTAACTACAGTAGCTGGTATCACTGTACGAGTCATCATCTTAAAGCAACACAAGCCAGGCATTTTGATAGCTATTTCTTCTTGGTACCGGGGATCAAACTCGGGACCTTGTGCTTGTGAGGCAGGCAGTGGAACCTCTGAGCTAAATCCCCGGCTTAATAGCTATTTCTATGCAAAAGCTCAATTAATATTCCCAACAACTCTCAGACAGTAACCTCATTTTCCAGAAGTAGAAACAGACTCAGGAAGATTAAACAACAGAAACACAAAGCTGTAAATTAACATAGTGAGGATTTTGTTTCAAACTCCATCTTTTCCCTGTCAACTAGTATTATACTGAAATGGAAAGTCAGCTTTAACTAAAGTATAAATGGTAAAACACCTGCAAGAAACTACGGTGATACTCCTAAAAAAGAATAACAATATAATGAAGTTCTATTACTTATACGGAGACACTGACACTAGGAACCAAAGTAGAGGTCACCATAACCCATAAGAGTTGTCAGGTCTTGATCAACATTTTACTTTCGTATTAAAGTGAATTCGAAGTCATTTCTGCAGATGTTCACACCTAAGATGTCCTTCAGAAGCTACAAAAATACTAAGACAAAGCTGAACATGATGGTACATGCCTATAATCCCAGCTACACAGGAAACTGAGGCAGGAAGGTTGCAACTTTGAGGCTAGCCCAGGAAACATAGTGAGACCAAAAATATAAAGGGCTGGTGATGTAGCTCAGTAGCAGAGAACCCCTGGGTTTGATTTCTAGTACCAAAAAACAAAACAAAACAAAACAAAAACAACAATAATGGCAAAAATCCCTTAGAAGCATCCATTTCCTTTATAATAGAATCCAGTACCTGCAATTCTATTTGTTGGCGCAGTGCTGCCACCGTGTGGAAAAGTGGAACAAAATCACTCTTCAATAGCAGTAAAATGTAAGTCATTTCCATTACTAGAATAAGAAAACTGAGATGATTTCATAATAAAACGGTATCCAGTAAAGACCTTTGGGTTCAAAATTGCAGTCATTTTATTTTTTCATAACTGTAATACTATTTTGAAGGTTAAGAAAGTAGGGCATGGGGGCTGGGGATTTAGCTCAGTGGCACTGTGCCTGCCTTGCAAGTACAAGGTGCTGAGTTTGATCCCCGGAACACGAAAAAAAAAAAAAAAAAAAGAATTCATTTATGTATTACAGTCATCTATTCTCTTTAACTTTAAATACATTTGAAGATTCCTTTAATAAAAAACATAAATAAATCAAGGGCACACAATGTTGCTTGAATTGGATGAAAATACTATGAACTGGATGAAAACTAGCCCTCTCCTCTACAAAGAAACAGAAGAAATTAGACGAACTAGGCCTGGCCTAGAAACCTGGTATTCTCTCAACTGATCTGGATAAAGATCTGCAAATACTACTTGAGTTTTAAAAAATGAAAAATGCTTTTACTGCTAAACCCTCAGTTCTGCATGAAGAATTTACACTGATGAAGAGATGCCTTGTCCCTCTCAAACTGAAACGCCCTGCAGGAGTTAGAATTCACTTTCACCTTAATCTATTCTTAGCACCACTGAATAGTTAACAAGTTTCCAACAAGGTACATGACATTCTGCGTATCTGCTTGGCATTGGAGCCCAAGCACTTCGTCTCCTCATTTGTCCCCAACTTGAGAATTTCAAAGACAATTGTTCAGAATAACAATGAATTAAAAGCAATAAGAAAAAGCTTGGTATCAGTTAAAACATTTCATAAAACAGGTACTATTGCCTTATGAACTTATTTCTTTATGGAATCTTTTAAAAAAATTATACTGGGGAGAGGGGTTGGACAAAAAGTAGGTCTCATCTAATACTGATAGTGATCAACATCAGAAGACATGGCTTAGGGCAAGCACTTCTGCATCCACCCTTAAGCTGGGAAGGTAGCTGAAAGACTCCTGATGTCAGTCAGTGTAACAAGAACCTTTAAATTTGCACCTTGCTTCATTCTTTGACCTTACTAATCTGGAGAATGATAAACAGAAGCCAAAGCTACTCATAGAATAAGATGAACCAAATGAGATATCAAAGTAGATATGAGTAGGTAATTTGCAAGTGAGAGATGTTACCTAGTTCAAATTCCAACTCTCTCTGCATCTGAATAAGTGCAACAAGAAAATATTTAGTTACCCACTGATTAACTCTTAAGTGTTGCTCACCTTTAACTAAATACCGCACAAAAGGGAGCACTTTTTTTTCTTACAGTACTGGGGATTGAACCCAGGGTTTCAAGCATGCTAGGCAAATGGTCTATCACTAAGCTACATTCCTAGCCATTCTTATTCTTACTATTCTTACACTGAGACAGGGTCTTAATAAGCTGCCCCAGCTGAACTCAAACTTGTGAACTTTTACCTCAGCTTCCCAAGTAGCTAGGATTAGAGGTGTGTACCACTGTGCCCACCTAAAAGAGGAGCTGTAAAGAAAGTGGTGATATTCCTTCATCGGCTTAGTAATCATACTTCATGACTTATCTGTCCATTCAAATAAGATCCAGTTACTAGCAAAGTCAATGGATCACTTGATTCCATAAGCAAATTTAAAATGTTAATAACATTAAAAAAATCCCAATTTTTTTTTTTTTTGGTACCAGGGATCGAACTTGGGACCTTGCAAAAAAAATCCCAAATTTAAGGCGCTAAGTTCTGGCTGCTAAACATTTAGAACATGTTTAGCAAGTTGGCTAAAAAAAACCCTTGTCCCAGAGCTCTTTAGAAGTGTATTATTATGGGCCAGGGGTGTAGCTCAGCAGTGCAGTGCCTGTCAAGGCGAGGCCCTGAGTTTGATTCCTGGTACCAAAAAGTGTACTATATAAATTTAAGGCAAAACTTCCTGAAGAAAATTACTACAGTATTAGTTTATTTCTAAGCAAACATGCAGTAGGTAAAATACAAAGGTCTGCTTTAAGACCTGTTATTTTAGTGCTTGGTTCTTTTCCCAAAAACTCCTAGGGCAGTGGTGGCAAACCTACGGCAGTGTGCCAAAGTGGACAGTTTGTATCACTGAAAGCTCTAAAAGGTTCACCATCACTGACCTAGGGTGTGACATATACAATTGTGGGATACACAGAAGTCATGTTTCTCACATAACCTGTGGCTCTGTCACAAAGACAAGGCTTGTGTTAAACATTCCTTGAAAAGGGACCCATTTTAAATATTGCTCTTTTAAATCACAGATGCTTATTACCATTGGATTTGAATCTGCTATGAGATCCCGTAGAGAATCAAGAAATCCTTGATCTTCCACCATTTGGGCATTGATATCATGGAGTTTTGCCACACAGACTGCCGCTGTTTTCCGAACATAGGGGTCTTCATCCTTCAAGCACTTTCGAAGGGGCTCACAGAGATATTCTGTAATCTTGTCCACACGGATGCACCCCATGGTTCTGACTGCCAAGGCCCTAATCAAAGGATTGGGATCTTCACAGTCCTACAAAAACCAATCATCAATTATAAGTATATAAGGTGATTAAAAGAGAACAATCCAGTTGACATAGTTACAAGAGTATTTTATTAATTTAAGTTTCCAGTCATATTCTACTTTAGGATTCAATTTCCTATGCTATTCCTTTCTTAAGCATCAGTCTTAATTGTCCATTCAAGAGTTTAGAAAGAAATCATTTATTTGTATTTATTTATCCTGTTTGTTTTTTGAGACTGTCTCACTCTGTAGTTCAGGCTGGTCTTGAACTCTGCATAGCCCAGGCTGGCCTCAAACTCAAGGCAATCCTCCTGCCTCAGCCTCTTAAGTGCTAGGATTATAGGACATGCTCAGCCATTTAACTGTTTTTATACAAACAATGAGGAAAGGCCTTGTAGGATTCAAACCAGGGCCAGCCATACAGATCTATGCACAGCTTTAACCTTCAAAAAACATAAACTAAAATCTTCTCAATGATACTAGTCCATCTTTGAACCACCAGGTAGAGAGAAGGAAATATTATGTTCTCTCTGACTCTGAATAAGGCAGAAAAACAAGAGAAAAGTGTCTATGAAAAGGAAGTAGCATACTGGTTACTTTTAAAAATTTAAATATGTTAATTTTAGAAATGCTGATTTTTTTTCCCCATTAAGTTTACTGGTACATTTTTGGTATAAAATACAGTTACATTCATCATTGGGAGCTTGTACCTTTACAGGAGTATCTTGGTTCTTATTTTTTTTCCCCTTCCCTTGCCCTCCCTTCAACCCCTCCACCCTTCCCTATTTGCAAAGACCTTGTTTCCATTTTGTTTCCTCTTTTCATATTTTTTCCTTTCCCTTTTTTCTCTTCCCCTACCCCTCCCAATTCCCCTGGTCTTTTAGACCTTTTCTTCCTGTTACACAATATCAGTTATACATTTTTAAAATTACAATATTAAGGTCTAGGAGACATTACCACAGATTTTACAGAATTTTAAAGGATCTAGAAAGCATATTACAAAAATCTTTTTTGAAATAAATTTGACAACTTCTAAGAAGTACCTTGGAAGACAAATTAATGAAACTAACTCTGGAGGAAATATAAAATTTGAATAGCACCTATTAAAGAAAGTATATTCCTAGCTTGCAAAACCTACCTATATGACAACAGCAGGCTCATAAACATTTTAACTGATAAATCATATCAAACAATTAAAGCAGAAAAAAGAAGGAACACCTCTCCCCTCATTTTAGGAACTCAACATTGTGCTAATCCTAAAACTGGATAAAGATAATAGAAGAAAAAAGTATGAACAGAGATAGAAATTTGTTTAACAAAACAAACTATTAGAAGTCAGATCTGGCAGGATGTAGAAAGTGGTTTTGTTATAGGGATGGCAGTGTTGGTTCAGCATTGGAAGATCCCCCCCCAAAAGTCATCATTTAAACAGAGGAAAGGAAAAAGCCATATGATCCTGTCACTAGTTGGAGAAAAAGTATTGGACTAAATTCTACAGCTGTTCATGGTGAAAGCTATCAGGAGCCTAGAAGTAGAACAGAAACTTCTCAACAGATTAAAGACATGTACTCCACACTTCCAGCAAGAATACCTTATATAAAATGGAGAAGATACAATGCTTAGAAATGCTGATTTAAAAAAAATTTTTTTTTTTTAAACTAAGTTTCAGTCAAAGGAAAAAAACAAGTTAAAATGGCAACAACCTCATTATTATGCTCATCAAATCCAATGCTAGGAAAAATCTGACTGGATAGTCCACCACATTAAAGAAAGTTTTATCACTTTTTAAAAGATGTGACAATGGTATTATGGCAATATTTTTAAAAAGGGATCTTACTCTGACAAATATAAGAAATTCTATGATCTTTAGAATTTGCTTAAAAATTATCCAGGGGTGACAGGGGAATCAGAAAAGTGTACATAGATGCCAGACACAGTAGCACATGCTTGTAATCCCAACACTAAAGAAGCTGAGGCAGGAAGATCGCTGTGAGCTCAAGGCTAGCTTGGACTGCACAATAAGACCCTGTGTCAAAAAAAAAAAGGAAAAGGAAGGAAGGTAGGTAGGTAGGTGTATCTAGGGAGTATAAATTAAACAAAAGTGGCTATGTGTCAGTAATTAAAACTGCAAGATAGGTATTTAGGAATTTATTATACTATTCCCTGTACTTGAATATGTTTAAGTACTTGAATGTAATACCTCCTATGGTTTCTACTATTTCTGACTCATCAGTTTAATTTCTACAGAGACAAAATAGGTAAATCCTCAGGTAAGTAATACTACAATGATAACCCCAACTGTTACCCTTGGAAGGTAAAATAATGAGGTTTACCTGGCTCTCTTGTATCCATCTGGCAAGTATGCATGCACCAAGCCTTGCTAACAGAAGGCTCACCATATGGTCTGAACTTTTCTGAATGTCACATGCTGGCATATAGAAGGCTTAAAATATGAACAGTCGACTCACCGCCAGTACCTCCCTAGCGGCCTCCCTTTGGAACAAAGGTTGCTTATTTGCAATGCAGATACTACACCAAGACTCATTTTTGAAAAGTTTATTTGAGGTAGAAGGGACTGCTCTTGAGTCCATGGGAAAAGCTACCTTCACAAAGCTGTTGACAGCCATGATGGCCATGTCTGGTTGACTCTTGGCGTAGTTCATCAAGTAGAGATACACGAGCTTCTTTAGCTCCAGGTTATCAGTCTGCATACAGTTGACTACATCTGGAAAGAGAGAGCTGAAAGAATGGAAAGACCAAGAGAGAATGAACAAGTGTGGGTGCCAAGCTGTTGGATAATGAAAAAATTGCCTCATATTCCAGAATGATCTGATACAAGGACAAGACTCCCACAGTGATAATTATTATCTTGGAAATGAATAACTACAATTGTAGTCCCAGTCCCAAGATTTCAGCAAGCGGTGAAACCCCTGAGCTAAATCCCCGGCCCCCGGTCCCAAGATTTCTACATAGGTTTTCTTTTTTATCTCTCTCTTGTCATTTCTTTCTTTCTTTGGTGGTACTGGGGTTAAATTAAGGGCCTTATTCATGGTAGCCAAGTGCTCTACCACTAAACTTACATTTTTCCCCCCAGCACTCTGAACAGTAATAGATCAACAACAACAAAATACTTATTCTTTATTACAGAAAATTTCAAATAAGCAAAAGTGGAGAGCAGCATAATGAGCCCAAGTTACTACCCACAAATATCAATACATGCCCGATCTTGTTTCATATAAACCCTCAATCCATATAAACCTTCCATCCCCACCTCTGTCCAGTTGCTCCAGACTCTTTATTTAGTTTTTTATTTCTTACAATGCTAGGGATTAAACTTAGGGCCTCTCACACATGTTAGGCAAGTGCTCTACAACTGAGCCACACCCACACCCTCTGTATTATTTAAAAATAAATCCTAGATATCTCATTTCATCTATAATATTTGGTCCATATACTTAGCAATCTTTTAAAAAACTCATTACTTTTATCACACCAAAAAAATTAACATGATACTTCACATCAGTCTACTGCAGTTTCAAAGCACGATAGTTGATATATTTTTTTAATGCTAAAGTTGTTATGCTCATATTCTTCCTTCACCAGTGGGAATTTCCTTCCTGAGTCCTTGTAATTTGACCTTGCATTTTAAATACTTACCTTGTCTTCTCATATGACAAGATGCTTCATCCAGGCTCACTGTGTACATTTCTAATTCCAGATCTGACTCAGTTACTTCTCTATGATGTCCTGATTCCCCTCGTAGTGAAATTTATTTTTAACATTACATATTCACACAAATAAAAACTGGAGTGTAGTGAAATACAAAAGTTTGTATCTTTCCCAAGTTCTAGTCATTTCATGACATCACTGTCCTATACAGCACAGGACAGAAGTCGATATTTCCATTCACAAAGTACCATTAACTTGGAAGGGTTGAGGTTGATCGATTTTAAACTGTAAGCTATATTTTAAAAATACAGGTTAAGTATAATTTAATGAGAAGTTAGCCATTAACTTCCCCTCAGGGCTTTATTAAAGTACTTTATAAATTTTAAGTATTTCTAGATGTTATTAGTACACAGAAGAAAAGAGAAGAAGAAAGTGTCAACATATTTCTACAGAAGAGAATGAATGAAATAATTGGTCAAATAGTGTAGTTCCTATACACACACAAAAGCAGGGTACAAAAGTAGAAATTATTTATAAAAAGATTGACTGCTGTGTATGGAGTAATCCTAGCACTCTGGAGGCTGAGGCAGGAGGACTCCAAGTTTGAGGCCAGCCTGGGCTTCACAGTGAGTTCAAGGCTGGCCTGAACTATACATGACAGTGGCTCCAAAGGAAAATAAAGGAGAAAAAGAAAAAAAAGGGAAGATGACCTGCAAATTCAAAGAATCCATTACATCTCCAATGAACCACCACTGATTATCTGTTCTGGAAGGTACCAAACTGTATTTAACTTGTCTGTATAGTAGCTAGTGCAGTTTCATGCACATATAAGTATCTAAGAAACACTTTCCAAATGAGCTTTCCACTTTCTAGAAAAATGGCTTATGTGCAAAATGACTATAAAATCAGTAAATACCTACGAAGCATTAACCAATAGTAAAAATTTTTTTCCAATATAGTAGTAAACGGAAGATCCTAAATACATGCCACAGAAAACCAGTAGGATTTAACAGTCTAGGTTCAAGAGGTAAAAACTGTTCAGCCTCAATCCATAAAGCTAGAAACCTAAACTTCTCGATATGGTAGCCATTAGTCACATTTGGTTACTCTGCAATATGGTTAGCCTCAACTGGAATGTGATGCAAATGTAAAACACTCAATAAATTTTGAAGACAGTGTGATAAATGCAATATAAAATATTTCACTAAAAATTATTTATGAGAAGTGAGAGATGGTGGTGGATGCCTATAATCTCAGCTCTCTGGGAGGCTAAGACAGAAAAATATGAGTCTGAGCCTAGCCTGGACACTTTAGCAAGACCCTGCCTCACAATAAAAAATAAAAAAAGGGATAGGGGTATAGATTTGTGCAAAGGCCCTGGATTCAATCCCCAGCAACCACCACTAGCAAAAAAAAAAAAAAAAAAGTATACTGATCATTTGAAATAATATTTTCAACATACTGAATCAAATAAAACATTATTAAAATTAATTTCAATTGTTTCTTTTTTTTTAAATATGCCTACTAGAAAATTAAAAGTTACTTATGTGGCTTGCACTGAGATCCCCAGCAAGTTTTGTTCACATGGGTTGTACCTACTGATATTTTATCACAGTAGGAAGTAATTCTAAGAAAACTTCACAATATTAAGTAATCCACTTAAAACAACCCATTTAATGGTAATATATTATTTTAAAGTAATGAACGAGAAGATGGCATTGTTTTACATGTTTGCAAATCTTATTTAATAGCTAGTTTAAACAAAGACAGCTGGATCCTTGCATCTTCTACATTTACCCGTTAAAGAATACTGTAATGGTTTGGTTGAAGTATAAGAAGAAAAGCTAGCTTCACACACAAACAAAACTTGGAAAAGGGAGAAATATTTTAATAGCTTTTTCATATAACTGGATAGTCTTCTTTGATAGTATACTAAAACTATGTGATAGTTTTTCTCTTTCCTTTTCAGTCCACAAATGTCAGTTTCTTAAAAGACAGAAACATGAGCCAGACATGGCACTGAATGCTTGTAATCTTAGCACTCAGGAGGCTAAAGCAGGAGGCTGAGGCTAGCCTGGGCTACATAGTGAGTTCAAGGCCAGCCTGAACTACATAGGGAGACCCTGTCTCAAGAAACCAAAAAAAAAAAAAAAAGTTAGAAATGTAGAATATGAAACCACATCAATAAACGTTTTGTACATGGTCACATAAAAATTTATTCATTTATTCTGCACTGTTAACAGATTTTTTTACCTATGCATAATTTTAGGATATATGGTTATTTGGAAAATACTAGTTCATTGAATTATGCAGATTCTCCCATACTGACAAATTTCATTATATAATAGCAAATTATCACATCCATTTAATTTTATCACCAAAACTCATTAGAAAAGCACTTTTAAAAAAACACAAGTATGAAGAAGCTGTCAAGCTCAAAAAGAGATACACATTTCCCAAAATTCTAATTTTTACTTTAAAGCTTTAAATTTATCTACTGTCAAAATTTTTTCCACTTGAAATGATAGGTTCACTTTGTTCCTTTTGATAAAATGTCTCTTGAATACCAAAGTCTGATTAAATATAGCTTGTCTGTCAATCATTCTTTCACATAAAAATGGTATTTCCAATTCAAACAATCACCCACAGTGTTTTCTTCAGTCAACCATCACACTTTGCAGGTCAGCAGAAGAGCTTTATGGGCAATTCCTTTTTCATCACAGAATATTGAAAATACACATGCCCAAGGCTCAAGTTTTAATAAAATAATTTTTTAATGCTTGATGAAGGACGATCATAAGTGAAAGTGCCCTTCTTCCTTGTAAGTAGATGGTGATAGAAAATACAATGAAGGCTATGGCCAGCATCACTACCTTGATTCACGCTAATGCATGGCAGTTTTACCCTCCACTGCTTTATAACTTAAGTGCCAATGTCAAAATGGAGAAAAAGGCAAGCAAAATCTAAGCATCATTATAAAAATAGCGTTGATCTCATGGACCCCCTGAAAGGGTATGGGAGTTCTCAGGGGCCTGTAGACAATCCTTACTTACTTTCAAATGGTCTCACTGGATTACTGTTGACACTGATTTTCATCTTACATTCAACAACTGAACGTAGAGTTGTAAAGTTGAGGGCACTGGTGTGAGCCAATTAAAGAATATGTAAGCTTCTGCTTCTCAGTGTATTTTTATCATGTTCTAAACTACCTCAGTCCAGAGACTTGTAACTGTGCCAGCTCTCAGGAGATTTTATGCTAGATCAGCATGCAACAAAGTCAGTCACTTTACTCTTCTACACAACAAACAAAACACTTTGGTGGTTAATAGAACAGCAAGTATACCTCCTGATGGTGTTTTTAGCGAGACAAAGTCATTCTTATAGGAGGATTTAAAAAAAAAATTTTTTTAATTTTTTTTTTTAGGAGAATAGGCTGGCCCCAAACTCTTGGGCTCAGATAATCCTCTTGCCTCAGCCTCCAGAGTAGCTGGGTTGAGAAGCTTATCCCCACTGTGTCTATCATTTTAAAGGAAAAGGAGTAAAAGCCATAAAATGGGGTCTAGATCTGTATAGTGACCAATGGCAGGAGTGATTACCCGTACCTAACATCCTTCCCCACAGTCATAGCAGCAATCACTTTCTTCACAGCCTCCTTCCGCTTTTCTTTCTTTTCATTGTTGAGTTCAGCTTTTAATTCAAAGATTTCTCCTAGAAGAGATGAGGACAAATGGGTGAGGTTCCAGGACCAGAGAATGAGAGGAGAATATTACACTGTGCAATAACACTAGGAAGATGCCAGGAACTGAAGATTACTTTAAAAAAAAAAGAAAATCACAGAATATGTAAAATTCAAACCCTAGAAGAATAACTGGCCCACAGACATGGACACTACCAATAAATTTTTAAATCCTTCTAAGTTAGAAGCTTATGGTATAATCTAGATCTTTAGGAACCAGAGATATGGGAAAAAGCAAATCTCATAATATCTAACTGCAACAGGAAAAAAACAGTATCTAAGGGATGATCTCCCATCAGAATATAATGTACTGCAGGGAAAAAAAATGCAGATAGGGGGCCAGGGATTCACCTCAGTGGTTCCAGCGCCTGCCTCGCAAGCCCAAGGTCCCGAGTTTGATCCTCAGTACCAAAAAAAAAAAAAAATGCAGATAGGGAGTGGGCTTAGAAATTAGTATTCCAAACCAGAAGAATCACATATCATTTTACTTACTCACTCCCAACTTTTTTTTTTTTTTTTTTTACTCATTCCCAACTTTATAGATAAAGAAATGAGGCTCAAAGGTCAAAGTGAGTTAGTGACAGAGCTGGATTCTTACAGCTGTCTTTTGACTCTCTGAATCCTGACATTCTCAACCCTGATTGCACACTAATAGCACTGGGAAATATTTTAAAAAAACAATGTCTGGGCTCTACTATAAGCCAAATGAATCAGAATGATCAGAATGTCAAGAAGAACTCATATTCCCTCCCCCACCGTACTGTGGATTGAACTTACGTCCTTTGCACTGAGCTATATTCCCAGTGCTTTTTTTTTTTTTTTTTAATTTTGAGACAGCTTCTCGTTGAGTCACTAAGTTGCCCAGGCTGGGCTTGAACTTACAAACCTCCTTCCTCAGGTTCCTAGAATGCTGGGATTACAAGTGTGCACCACCATGCACAATTTTATATTCACATTTTTAAAAGCTCCCCCAACTGATGCACAACCAGTACTGTAAATCATTGCTCTAATCAGCAGTGTAGTAAGATAATAGGAATAACTTTAAGGTCCCATCCTATTCAAAGAATCAAACAAGAATAATTTTGATGTTGCAATAATAGTACCAACTAGGGCCATTTCTAAAGGCATAATCTTGAATGACTGCCTTGTCCCTGTACTGTGAAATGCTAGAGGCTATCATCATTATGTTAAGGTGTAGTTTTCAGGCTCATCTATCTTCAGAACACTGGGGCTGAAATGAAAAACAAGGTAATAACCCTCATCTGTTTTAAATAAAAACAAACAAAACAAAAAACTCCACTAAGCCCATGAGAAAAAGTTTGATGAATCCCATCTCTACCTTTCATCTATACCTTTGAACTTCTTCATACTACTGCCTCATTTTTCTCCACCTTTAAGACTGTTAAGATGTTCATTTTACCCAGCTCTCATTGACCAGCCTATTGCACACTATGTGACCTCCCTGAAGCCCTGAGAGAAGGATGAAATCGATAAGGTGAGCATTAAAAGCTTCTTTCATCAATATCCACTGCCAAAAGGCAAGCAAATTGTTATAAAAATCACTGTTTAACAGACAGCTGCAAAAATAGCACAGCCAGGGGTAAAAAAAAAAAAAGCACAGCCAGAGAATCTAGGCCCTTTAACAAGGCATTATCCTCTTCTCCAAGTCCTATGCTGCCAAATCCAGTTTTTAGGGTACCCCTCATTTACTTCTGGGAGCAGCAGAGGACAAATAACAGTGTTTCAGAAATTCTGAACTATGAATAGCAGCAATAGTTGCAGAATCAAAACAACATGTAACTGAAATTATTCCAGTTCCAATAGCATAAATTTAAAGAATACTGTATGTTCCAGTGGCAGTTCAGGTGGGCGTTGCAGGAAGCAAAAGAACACAGGCTAACCATTTTTTTAGAATGTGTTATTTATCCAGTCATGATTCAATCTGTAAATCTCAAACTTCTATAAATGGTCAAATAAAAAGAAGCCACCAGGATCCCTTAAAGAGAAGGTTGGAAGACCTAGGTGAGTTTTTGGGGATCTCTTTATGTTATCATAAGCAATAAGCTGGTCATCAAAGCAATGTTAACAGAAGAAAAAAATAAATACATTTCCAAATGATAAGAAAGTCAGGAAAAGCTTAAAGGAATGACCAGAGGTTCACATCTTTTGTGAGGTGTAAATAATAAAGATAGGGAGGAAGAAGTTGGGTGGAGCCAAAGAGGGTTATTAAGAGGCAAAGTACCTTGTATATACTATAACATTATTAGATCCTTATCTTTTCCCTAATCCAATCTATCAAGCATTGCTAGCAACTAGCAATGGTTCTCAATCTTGGCTATACATTAAAATAATCTGGGGAGCTTTTAAAATCTCTACATCCTGACCTTTTTTTTCGTTCTTGTTTTTGGTAATGGGGATCAAACTTGGGTCCTTGCGCTTGTGCAGCAGGTGGTGGAACCACTGAGCTAAATCCCTGGACCTCTACATCCTGACCTTTAAAACCAGGCCATCTGGGGATAAGATTGAGGCACTGGTATTATTTTAAAGTTTCTGGACAAACTCCAAAGTGTAGCCAAGGCTGTAAGCCACTGATTAGTAGCAGATGTAACTAAGCAATTCGCTACAGGCTTTTCTGTATTATAACAAAAGAAAATGGTTACCTATGCATACTCTACATGACAGAATGACAGATTTCTTGAGATTTCTAAAAAATGTGTTGGAGCTTAGCCCAGGCCAATACTATATGCCTTTCTACTTTTTAAAATTTTTATAAAAAATTTCAATCTTAAAATTGTTCGAGTCCCCGGTTGTTAATATTTTGTCACAATTGCTTTATCATTCTCATATATATATATATGTATGTTTGGTTTTCAATTTTTTTATTTAAAAAATTTGTTTTGGTACCGGGGATCAAACTCAGGACCTTGCGCTTGTGAGGCAGGCGGCAGCACCGCTGAGCTAAATCCCTGGCTCTGGTTTTATTTTTTTGAGATGGGGGGGGGGGTCTCACTATGTAGTTCAGGCTGGCTTTGAACTCATCATGTAGCCCAAGCTGGCCTCAAATTCACAGCAGATCCTCCTGGCTTAGCCTACCTAGTGCTGGTATTACAGGTATGCACCACCTTGCCTGGCTACTCTCTACATTATTTATATACCCTGTACTCATCATAGCTCTTTAGCCTGAGGTACATCAGTGTATGTTTTATAAGAACAGGAAATTCTCTTAACCTTAATACAATAATTAAAACATTGATACATTACCTAATCTAGTCTACAGACCTTATTTAAAGGTGTCAGTAATGTCCTTTGTAGCAACTTGATTCCTACCCTTTTAAAGAACAGGAGGAAAAGAATAGTTGGTGTCATACATAGAGTATGTTACTAAATATAAGGCCTCCTAAAGGCAAAAGCACAGAATTCTGATCCTGCGAAACAAATAAAACAAGATAGCTGATATTGTAGTAAGTAGATAAGAGCTAAACTAGTCTGTCTTTGATATGAGAGCCATCTATACCTCTGGGAATGAGGTATGAACAATTTTTCAAAAGATGAGAGGTTATCACAAAAGGAATATAATCATTATGTACTATAAATATACTTTTACAAAAAAGACCAGAGGTTAGACTTTTCCAAGAATCCTTAGTTCCTAAACCCAAATTCATATGTAAAAACCAGCATCAGATTACTGATCAAAAAGATAATAAGGGAGGGCCGGGGATGTAGCTCAGTGGTGTTGCGCCTGCCTGGCAAGCTCAAGGTCCTGAGTTCGGGATCCCTGGTACCAAAAAAAAAAGAAAAGAAAAGATAAAAGATGATGAGGCTAATTAGGCACAAGGCTACTCAAGTAATTCAGTCTATGACCTAAAAAAATCATA